TTTTTGCCAAGAGGAACAGCTAAAAGTTGATATGTCAATTTAAAAACACAAAAAAAAAAAAAAAAAAAAATATATATATATATATATATATATATATATATATATATATATATATATATATATATATATATATATATATATATATATATATATATATATATATCGAAGTACATCCTCTTTAAATTCATGGGGTTTACGAATTATCTAGGAATTAAAGTTTTAGTTTTTTTTTTTGTTTTTTTTAAGAATTTGCCCAATTTTTTTCCATTTTGGAATCTGGTGCTTCTTCATAAGAAGAAATATTTTCTATAAGTATGGGTTTTTTTTTTGTTTGTTGTTGTTTTTTTAATTTTATTCAAAGCGTTTATTTTTAACTTAAGGCTTTATTATGACTTACCTTATGGAAAAGTTTAGGAAGTATAAGAGCAGGAAACTTGCAGATAAAAGGGAGAATTGAGGGAACGAAAAAAGCCATAATCCTTATAATGAACATGACATTATGTATCAATCTAATTATCATTAATTTGGTTTGTAAGCAAGTGTCACTTTTCCCAACTGAATAATGGGATTTTTAGTTGTATTTAATTTATTTTGATGCATCTGTAAGACAAAGTTATGTAGTGTGATATGTATGGTTAGATTAAAATTATTTTCAAACTTCAAATCCTTTTTAAATTAAAAGCCCAGAAGTGACAAAGTGTGTAATTTATTTATTTATTTTTATCATGATAGGTCAAAATAAACTTGATCAAGTATGCTTTCTAGTAGGATTTCTAGATATAGATAAAAAATAACACATAATACCCTTTTTGTGGAGGATATGAATATACAGAAACTAACAGAAATATCTTTTTTTTATTATTTTAGAAGCACTTTTATTGGCCAATGCTACTTTTGTAGCTGTACCACATCAAGTCAGTTTGCTACAACTGAGAACTGTTTCTAAACAGCAAATAATATTGTTTGAAATCGCCAAACTTTTCTGAACGTCCAAAGTTTCCAGAGGTGCTTAAAAGTTAAAGAGCTCTGCTGCCATCTGCTGGAAGAAAGAGCACATTTCTGCTGCGTCGTTGTTGATGCGACGATAATTTCCCTAAACCTCGAGTCTTCCTGAAGTGTCTCTTTGCATTCAGCAGTACAATGTACGGATGATGTTACGTTATAGTAGCGTCTTTTACAGAATTTGGAAATATTATAAAACAGAAAAGCTAGTGTTTTTGTCTTCAGTTGCCAGAAGCGTCAAAGAGCTTCTTCCTGCCCTCCATCCCAGACATGGCCTCCACGTTCTTACGCCAGTCAGTAACCTCCTCTTTCTGATAGAGAACAAAACAAATTGGACAAAAACATATATATATATATATATATATATATATATATATATATATATATATATATATATATATATATATATATATATATATAAATCAGAAAACAATATTCAGGTGGATAAAAACCAGATTCACCTTTTCTTCCTCCTTCTTGACAGTTTTGAGGTTTGCCTTGAAGTCAAATGACTCCTTGTGTTTGGAGCCCAGCAGAACGCTCAGCATCGCCTCAGCTGAGATCTTCACTCTCCGCAGGTGAGGCTTCTTGAACTTACTCTGGATCTCAGTAATCTTCAGTTTCATGTTTTCAATCTGCCCAAACGGAGCACGTGATTATATCATTCTACCTCATTACTCAAGATAATTTGCATCTTTCATAGGCGTATTACTCAGTGGTGTTATTTAAGATTCACATAATGTACAGTCAAGCTGTGAGATGTCGCCATACCACCGTGGTGCGGCTGCAGGATGTTTCCAGTTGAGCTATGGACTTCAGTTATTGACTTTATTTTGCTTTTTTTTTTTTTTTTTTTGCTTCCATCATGCAAAGTCTGATTTGTGAACATGCTTATGTGGTTTTCAGCTGCTGTCAAAAATGTAGGGTGTAGTGACATCTTGTGGTAAAAATCTCAAATTACAACCAAGTTGGCATAAATGGAGAAGAACAAAAAAGCCACTATTTTATTTCGCCACTGTAAATTGTGTTTCGGAATATTTTATGACATTATTTAAAAGCGTACAAAAATACTAGTTTATCTTGAAGGGCATGGATCTTCGCCTCAGCTTCACAAAGTTTCATTTCAAGTTTTACTTTATTGTATTATCAGGCCAAAGGTAATAATTTTGGTGGTATTTTAGAGACTGAAACTTAATTTAAGGCTTAAAAATACATGGACAAGTGAACTGACCTTCATCTTGCATTGCTGTTCTGTCTTAATGATCTCACCTCCACATTGTTTTTGGAAACTTTCAGGCCAACATCGTAGCGCTCCTCGTCTACTATATCAATCTTGCGGTGCAATTCTTTGCACAGATCCTTTAATTAAAAAAAAGAAAATAACATCAGGGTACATTTAATAATAGTGAGTAACTTGCCGAAAGGAGACTGGGACTAATCCGGACGTAAACGGGTTTTGTGGTTGAAAAGAAATACCTGCAGTTCCTGTAAAGACAGACCAGAAAGATTCAGCGGAGGAAGTCTCTCTGCCAGCACGGCTTCTTTTTCCTTTATCTTCTGATTTTTTTCCTCCTCCAGCATTTGAGTAGCGACTGCCAAAAGTTTGATCTAAGAGTGAAAATCCAGAAAAATGCAGCATTTATCCTCTTTTTCCCCCCGTTGTTTTTTTTTTTTTACTTGTAAGTACATACAATATTTATGACAAATGCAAAAGAGCACAGATTTCATTTTTAAAAATGTGCTTGCAATGTACACCTTTAAGACTAAAGTGTGTCTCGAGGCAATCATGAACCTATTATTTCTCATCCTGCGGTCTGCACACTGCAGCATGCAAACTGCTCCATAGCTATTGTAGTTAGAGAAGTTAACAACATTCTTGCACAAATCGAAAATAAGCTTAGGGGATAAAATCAATTAAATAAATAGCCAAACATTTGACACAACCAAAAATAATAATATTAACAACACAGACAACTTAAAACTCTTACTTTTAACCCCAGCTTTCTGGAGGAGGAGATCTTAGATTTTTTCTGTAATTCACACATAAATAATATTTATTTCCACCTTCTGCCTTGCACGAAACATAAGTAGAAATGGATATAACTGATACTTACCTCTCTATGGTGACATTCATAAGAGAAATGAAACATATTATAGTTTTATATCTTACACAACACAATAACCAGTGGGGAAAAACACACGAGAGGAGACAGCACTTACCCGTCCGACATGACTGACTTAAACCACCGCTCTAGAATGGGGAAAATAAACCCATTAAAATAAATAAACACATTGCTGCTTCACTGCTGCCTTATAAGACATTCTGCATGCTTTGTATCAATGAATTGTTGCAAGTTAAACGCACGTCTAAAAACTCCTGCAAATTACAAATTCATTTGGTCGCCAAAGCTAAATTGTTTTGAATTGCACGCCTCCTAAACGCCTGGAACGGTTTAAAGCGAATGTGCTCTGAGGAGTCAAAGGAGTGCAAGTGTTAATATATGTGATGAGAGGTTCACCGTGGGCGACAAAGCAGTTAAGTGACCAGATAATCCGCAGGCATGTGAGAAGACTCTGTTCAGTCAGCTGCTAATGTTAAACAATAACACTGCTGCCCGCTCGGACGGCCTGAGAGAGAACAAGATGCTGCTCTGACGTAAAGAACCGTGACAGCCGCTGCTGGATGCTGCGAAGTAAAGAGAAATATACTCACACTGAGTCAAACAATGAAAGCACAAGTACCAATAGGAACTAGCAACACACCGCCTAGCGATCCAACCTCAAGGAGCTCCTTGTGCTTTCTGAAAACAAAACAAAACACATCTCTCTAATTTATAGTGTCTCCTCCAAAGTAGAATGGCTCACTAAAATAGAGTCGTATCTGCTTTACTACCTCTGTCCGTCCACCAACAGTGACATATACGGAGGTTCACAACAATATTTGAGCTGCGTAAGGGGTGGGGGGGCCGTCATAAAGCCCGCTCCGTGGGTTTGGACATTTGGGTATGTTTAAACACGATTTCTGCCACATCTATTAGTGGAAATGGCAGCGTGTCCTTTGAGGGGGGGGTCAAGGTCGGAGTTGTGACAGAGCGGGGCCAGCTGGAAAAGTTTAGATGAAGATGTCAGGGAGTGGAGCAGAAGGGAAGAAGTTAGAGTTACCTCCTTCGTTTGGGCAGCGTTTTTATTTATAGGAAAACCGCATGGTTCAAGAGGTTCAGAAGTAACATGGACTACCCCAGATTATCTGTTTAGTCGTCTGTTAATATCGACTAAATCTGGTGTTTCGTTCCCAAATGTTTCAAACTGACTCAAAGTGATCCATGTTGGTTTTTTTCCTTAAAATGTCTTTTTCCTTTCTCTAGCCATGCAAAGCAAAGCAGATATGTATTTATAGGTCACGTGCATTTTCCATTAGCAAATTGTGTCACCATTTTTGTTTATATTTGCAGCTGCGTATCATGGCAGTCGTCTCATAACACTTTGCACAGGCTGCATTGAGGAAAGACAAAAGCCAAAGGTTAACTTGGTTTTATTTTGGCCTGCAGAGGAACAAGGACAGGTGGTCTGTGAAGCTTGATGGTTTGTAAACTGAGCCAGAGTGATTTCAGCCTGGCTCTTGGATTCACACTAAAGGCTGCACACACCAAAGAATACACACATTCACATAACTAAGAACATTGTCTGTAAAAAATCTTTTGTGATTTTGTTGGGATTGTACATGAAAGACAGTAATGCACTGATGCGAAGAGAAAGGAGAAGACAAATGTTGGTAAAATTTTTTTACAAGTCTTAAAGGTGCAGAGGGCCTCTTTTATTTGAAGACCGACACATAAAAATCAGTGCAACTGAGGCTTGTCGGAGAACATCAGCAAACGAACAACATCACGAGGACGAAGGGACGCGGCAGACAAGGTTTACAATACAGTTTCGCAGAATGCAAAGACGAGAGCACGACTGAAAGCCTATCACAACGTTGCCGTTGCACTCAAAACGACGGAGCGGGACGGGAGAGCATGAATCAGAGCCGAGAGTCCCATGGCTACGTTTTAGAGGAGCTGCAGGAATCCACAGCTTAGATGGTGGAATGTGTTTACACTTATAATTAGTTGAGCTCTCCACCAACATGATGTGTATGAAAGAATGGCAAGATGATCAGCCATTGGTAAATAAAGAAACAATGGCATTAGATGATTAAAATTTGTGTTTAATATGGAAAGTTGATCTGGTCAGATGAGACCAAAATCAAACATTTACACTTAAACTATAAAGAGGTGACTTATATAAATATAAATATAAATATACTGTGTATATATTTATACACACAAATCATGTTGAAAGACTCTTCTCTTCTCTCCTCTGTGGTCTTCTGCTGCAGTGATGTTTAGGATTTAGATATTTGCAGGTGAACATTGTTTCTTCTTTGCCTGTCTGTTATTGTCAGCCTCATAAAACAGGCATAAAAAAAGAGAACTACAGCATCAGCTTTAAGTTTTCACCAGAACATTTTATTAACTTTGTTATCCTCAGGCTTTTTAAGGTCAAGAAACATTTTCTTTTTCTTTAGGGTGGACATATAAGCAGTTCAAATGTTTCACAAGTGCAAAAACCACAAAACAAAACAGTGCAATTAACCCGAATGCAAAACAAAGAAAGAAAGAAATTGCTGCAATTACTTTTTCTTTAATAATCTAAGTAATTTTGAATATCGCGTGTAAAGTCTGCAGATACAGTCATGCATGCTGAATCCTGTCTCGTGTCTTTGCTGATTCTATGGAAGAACAATCCCTCCAAGGTCTTCTACAATTTCTTACACTGTAAAACTGAATTTATCATCAAAATGTCCACAAAGACCAATCTACTGGTTGGCATCAAAAAGCTTCTTCCTGCCCTCCATTCCGGACATGGCTTCCACGTTCTTCCTCCAGTCTGTCACTTCCTCCTTCTGATTAGGCAAAGAACATAAAAAAAAGTCTCAGCAGTTTTGAGAAATACTACACACCATACATATGTAAGTATGGACAAAAAAATGACTGTAAAACATTGTAGAATGATGTTTGCAATTAAGTAAAAAGCAAGCAATAAAACAAGAAATGTGGTAAATGGAGGAAAACTATTTGAATTTTTTGCCAAGTGCAGTTAAATTACTTTCTTTTCCAAAGGTTAGAAATAAAATTAGAATTTGATATGTGAATATTTCTGAATAATGAACTGATTCGGTGACGGGGTGTTCTAGTTCTCTCACATAACTGTAGATGCTGTGGCCGTTAAGATGCGCTCATTTACCTTTTCCTCCTCTTTCTTCACAGTCTTAAGGTTGACTTTAAAGTCCACGCTCTCTTTAACCCTTGAACCCAGCAGAGCTCCCAGCATGGCGTCCGCAGAGATCTTTACTCTCTTCAGAGCGGGTCGCTTCATCTTACCCTTCAGATCAAAGACCTTCCGATTGAGATCCTCGATCTGTGGATTCAAATGTAAAAATTCAAGTGCAAAGAACACGTTTAGTAAGATCTGCTGACATTTTCACTGACTCTGTTGATCGGTCAGACAGTAGTTCAAGTAGTTCAAGAACTTTGCAGATCTATTCATTCATCATCATCATTAATGTGAAAAAAAGCAAACGATAAATAGAATTCACTGGCACTTAAACTAGACGAAATGAAGGAATGAATCCAGACCTCCTTGATGTTTTTGGCCACCTTGGCTTCGATGTCGTACCGTTCTTCATCTGCCACATCTATCTTGCGGTGCAGCTCTTTGCACAAAGTCTGGAAAGTTATGATTACAGTTAAAGCTAGTGTCGAATGCAGCCTACGCCACAGTGATTTAGCTGTTTGCAAAACATCTGAATGAGTCTTCCTCCGATGCGCTCACCTGGAGGTCCTGAACAGACAAACCAGACAGCTGGAGAGGAGGAACCTTCTCTGTGAGAGTAACTTCTTTCTGCTGAATCCTCTCCTCCTTGGTCTTCTCCAACATCACAGCTGCTGTTTTCAGCAGCTTGGTCTGTCAGGTATAAAAATAAAAAAATTAAAAAAAAGAAGAGATCCAACAATCCCCCATTTGGATAAAAAAAAAAAAGACTTCATAAAAGGAGACACTACCTTAAGATATAGCCTTCGAGATGCAGAGATCTTTGATTTTCTCTTAAAGACAAAATCGAAAAAAGTAATTTTATTCTTATTTTGATTTAATTTGAGCTGCAACAAATGTATCGATTCCTTACCGGTCTGTGTTGGATGTTATGACATGAGAAAAAAAGGAAGAAAGGAAAAAGGAAGTGAGGATAATTTCTATTTTTTTTTTTTTGTATAATAAATATTCTTTCACAGATTTCAGAAAAACATTGTCACTTACGCTTCAGACATGTCTATTGCTCCTGTTGAAAGATTAGACCTTTTACTATTATCAGTTTAGGTGATAGTTACATCATTTGCCTTGATGGTTATTGCAGTATAAAATCACAGTCTATTTCCATGTTGATTTGATCAAATAAAATGTATTTTGAAGTTTGTCTGCAGTCACACACATTTTATTGACATCAGTTTCTCTCAGTCATCCAGACCTTGGAGCTCCGTCACACTGACTCTGAGCCTTTAAATTAGTAACACTTCATTCTCAAGTGCTGTGAATACTTGGAATGATTTTCCTTTTTGAATCCAATTTGGGCTCTATCCAAGTTTAGAGTAGCTATCTAAAAATCACATTCAGATTTAGTTTGTGTAAACTAAATGTATAGCACAAGTTAGGATTTTTTTGTTTTGTTTTTGAAAATTTGCAATCTCAGCTATTACTTGGATAAAAAGTCACAATACTGTCTAAAATATCTAAATTTGGGGTTAAAAATCTGTATATTTGCAGCACTTTAATGTATAAACAGTAAACTAAAATGTATCTTTCTGCTAAATATGCCAATGTAATCTAAACTCAAATTTTTAGCTTGTTTTTTTTTTTTTTTTAAAACAAACTGCATTCGGTGAAATATATCTGTAAATTATTAAATCTATGCCGCATCGTCATTAAACAAAGAGATTAACGTATCTTATATTTAATCTCTGAGCAAAACAAGTTGATATGATATGACTCTGACTTTAAATAACAAGAACTAATCTCAAGTCTCAAATTTAATAGCTCCTATTGCCTTCTGTGAGTGGCCAACTAAAATAGCGTCTTCTGTCCTGACAGCCAACAAACCGTATATCTCTACTCTCCCACCACCCTATGCCAGGCTGTGCCGAAGCACACAATAGTCTCAATATGATATGGTCATGTGTGTTTGAAAATTTTCTGAATGTGGTTATGCATCTGATTTTGAAAGACATAAGTTCAATATTTAGGATTAGTAAGTTATTTTTGTGCTTTAAGACAACTGCAGTTGTAAAAATTTTAAAAAAAAAAAAAAAAAAAAAAGCCACCTGGATGGTCAAATTGAGTGGTTAATCTTTCAAAAATTAAAAAAAAGCAAAGAAAAAGAGTGAGAATTCAAAGATTTGGTCATGGTGCTTTATTCAGCTTAATGTGTATTACAAATAGGGAGACAGCACCATCGTCTGTCCACTACAAATACTGCACTTCCATAGCATAAAACCTTTTTTTTCTTTTTTTGTACCACAATCTCAGTTTGCATTAAACTTTGGCTATTATTCCTGCAGTGGTATCGTAATTTAAATTTAATCACGACTAAACATTGTTATGATCGTTTCATTTCAGCAGGAAATTCAAAACTTTTCAAACGCTCACAATACGATTTGACTCAACGACTGCGATCTGTAACGTCAGCATTTGGAAATGACTGATTATTTAATATGCGCATTGGTTCATTGTCCTGCATTAAATAGCTTCTTCCTGCCCTCCATCCCAGAGAGGGCCTCTACATTCTTACGCCAGTCGGTCACTTCTTCCTTCTGTTTGAAGAAGAAAAGAAAAAATAAATAAACGATTGAGAGCAATTTTGTCATTTCTTTTTTCTTTATATTTGC